CTCGCCATTTGCACGAGCTCTGGGTACATGCCGAAGCCCAGCGGGACATATATAGAAGTTTGTGGGAAGCGGGTAATGTTTCTGAGGCCTCTTATGATGGAGCTCGAGCGAAGGAACGAGAGGCTCGTGCTAACTGTGGATATGATCCTACGACGCCGGACGCCGACGAGGATGTTGATGCTGAAGAGGGACATCCTGGAGATGGTGATGAGGAGGACGACGGTGATATCACCGAGTGAAAGAGTTGTTACCTTTGTTTATGTTATTTTTTTTGTTCTTTCTGTTTCTATTTTTTTGTACTGGACTAGTTTTAGCCGTGTATAATCTGCGGCTATTTGCACACTTGTTTAAATAAAGGATCTTTCATAACTGTACGTCCTTTTTATCCCTTTCCCTTTTTCTTTATGTACCTTTGGCATAAATTTTGGATCTTCGCATGGTGGATCCTTATTTTTTCAGGGAAACCAATTTTAACCGGACTAAGTGAGACTTCGTTATGAGTCTTAATGGAGTCCCATTCGATTCGCCTATTTGGGGCAGAATATGTTTGGTGAGTTATTGCTTTAGACTGATCCGTCTTTGACTCAACTGAGTTGATATAATTTCATTGTTTTGGACGAAGTTAGTCTTGACTTGAGTCGTTTGTGTGGGATCAAACTTTCGCTAATTTGGGCGAAGTCACTTCTCTCCTTTTTTTTAATCAATTTTTCGATAAGCAGAAGGGAAAAAGTTGCGACGACGGCCGATAGCTGCAAAAGCATTATTTGGCTCGAATGAGTTCGAACTTTTCCTTTTGCGATGACTCTTTGCTATAGAAATGTTGTTTTGAGCTATCATCAACATACTATCCTGTTATAGTTTGAGTGAGGTCGATCTTCCCTTTTCATTTGGTGACGGCCTTTGTCCATAAGGATGTTATTTAGAATTGTCGTCGAAATACTATCCTATTAGGACTCGAATGAGGTTGAACTTTTTCCTTTTTGGTGATGGCCCTTGGCCGTAAAGTTATTATTTCGAGATGGTCGAAATATTAACCTGTTGCAGTTCGAGCGAGGTCGAACTCTTCTCCTTTTTTTTTTGGCGATGGCCCTTGGCCGTAAAGGTGTTATTTCGAGCTAGTCAAAATACTAACCTGTTGCAGTTTGAGCGAGGTCGAACTCTTTTTTTTTGTTTTTTGGCGATGGACCTTGGTCGTAGAGGTGTTATTTCGAGCTGGTCAAGATATTAACATGTTGCGGTTTGAGCGAGGTCGAACTCTTCCTTTTTTTGTTTTTTGGCGATGGCCTTTGGCCGTAGAGGTGTTATTTCGAGCTGGCCAAAATATTAACCTGTTGCAGTTCGAGCGAGGTCGAAATCTTCCTTTTATTATTTTTTTGGCGATGGCCCGTGGCCGTAGAGGTGTTATTTCAAGCTGGTCAAAATATTAAGCTATTGCAGTTCGAGCGAGGTCGAACTCTTCCTTTTTTTTGTTTTTTGGCTATGGCCCTTGGCCATAGAGGTGTTATTTCGAGCTGGTAGAAATATTAACTTGTTGCAGTTCGAGCGAGGTCGAACTCTTCCTTTTTTTTTGTTTTTTGGCTATGGCCCTTGGCCATAGAGGTGTTATTTCGAGCTGGTCGAAATATTAACTTGTTGAAGTTCGAGCGAGGATGAGCTCTTTTTTTTTGTTTTTTGGCGATGGCCCTTGGCCGTAGAGGTGTTATTTCGAGCTGGTCGAAATATTAACCTGTTGCAGTTCGAGCGATGTCGAACTCTTCTTTTTTATTTTTGGTGATGGCCCTTGGCCGTAGAGCTGTTATTTTGAGCAGGTCGAAATATTAACCTGTTGTAGTTCGAGTGAGGTCGAACTCTTCTCCTTTTTTTCGGTGATGGCCTTTGGCCGTAGAGGTGTTATTTCGAGCTGATCGAAATATTAACCTGTTGCAGTTCGAGCGAGGTCAAACTTTTATTTTGTTTTTAGCAATGGCCCTTGGCCGTAGAGGTATTATTTCGAGATGGTTGAAATATTAACCTGTTGTAGTTCGAGCGAGGTCGAGCTTTTCCTTATTTTTTGTTTTTTGGCGATGGCCCTTGGCCATAGAGGTGCTATTTTGAGCTGTTCGAAATATTAACCTGTTGTAGTTTGAGCAAGGTTGTACTCTTCTTTTTGTTTTTTGGCGATGGTCCTTGATCGTAGAGGGGTTATTTCGAGCTGGTCAAAATATTAATCTGTTGTAGTTCGAGCGAGGTCGAACTCTTCTCCCTTTTTTTGGCGATGGCCCTTGGCCGTAGAGGTGTTATTTTGAGCTGGTTGAAATATTAACCTGTTACAGTTTGAGCGAGGTTGAACTCTTTTTTTTTGTTTTTTAGCGATGGCCCTTGGCCGTAGAGGTGTTATTTCGAGCTGGTCGAAATATTAACCTGTGATGAGTCCCAGTTTTTCTTTTTGAGAGTTTCGAGTTTCCCCTGGAGGAGTTCTGGTTTTGCTCAACCTCTGCGTTTCCTGGGTGACTCCCAGTTTGATCTATTTTGTTTGCATAGTAGAGAGTGATATTAGAGGGTATGAAATGTTGTTATTTTCTCACGTTCGTTTCATGCTTGTATTGGGGTTTCCCTGTCTAGTCCCTTCATCTTCCGATCTGGAGATGCCATTGACAGGCGAGGCGATGAATTATACTTCGAACTTTGGTGATGTCCCACTCATTGTTTCGATCAAAACCTCCGAGAGAGCCCATTCGGGACAACATCTGGGTGATGAGAAGGAATACGACTTGGGGGACGTCCCTTTCCGGAAGTTGAGATGTGTGAGATGGGTGGCATTCAAGTTATTTTGTAATAGTTCCTCTCCAGTTAGAATGCTTCTTTGCTCGCTTGCCTATGCGATGCTTGTGCTCCTGTTTAAGCAAACAACAGAAGGTAAATCAAAATGAGATTTTTCTTACCTCGATCCGATGAGTCGATGAGCGAGGGTAGCCTTATAGCGTTGTTCGCTCTGCCTGGCGTTTAAGTGGTTGACAGAATGGTGTTTTGTGGATTCGGTAGCCGCATTCAGCTCTCTTTTCTCTCCATTCTTTTTTTTGATGCCCTGCCCCACGTGGGTTGGGTTTGTCTTATCTCGCTCGTGGACCGTCCGGTGCGTGGGAGGGGAGAATGTTAGAGTAGGGCAAGATGTGTCCAATTTTCTATAGGATCGCGCAGCAGGTGTCGTCTCCTCTTGTGAGCTTTGCGTGGATATTGTTGTGACTTCTGCTTTCATGCAGCATCAAGATCTAGATTAACATTGGAGGTTTACCTACCATTCTTTCTGGTGGGTGATTATGTTTCACCAGTTCTGGACCTGAAGGAGACGAGAAAATTTGGCTAAGAAATCCCCAGAAATGGCGTGAAATTGTTTGACCAAAAGATAGTAAAACATTTTTGAGCTAATCAATAATGATGAGGAGAGGAAAATCTTAATCAAGCATAATCAACATCAGATCTTGAAATGCATAGCGCGATCACGAATAATAAAATAGCAGGAAAATTTTATATTTCTTAATGTTACAAACCTATCTTTGATAGGAAGAAGGAAAAAAAATATTTACATCTTTCAGAGGAGGAAATTCATAGAGAAAAAGTTTCAAAGAAAAAGTTCCCCCTTTTTCGAGCATCCCCCTTCTATATATAGTTCTCAGAACTTTACTGTGTTCTTTGACCAACGTGTTCTTCACGTGACGATCTAGACGTCGTTACTTGAGTACCGTTCTTACTTAGCATTCACTGTCGATAATTGGACCGAGGTTGATCGTGGTGTTTCTTGCCACTTCGCCACTTAGGCGAGATCCCAATTTGGTCGACCACTGTAGTCAGATTTTGACTCATACGGCTTTCCCCTTCGAAAAATCGGAGTGCGCTCATTAGCCTCGGTTTTACTGGCATACAACATTGTTTTACACATTTAAACGGTTATAAGGATTACACATTAGTTTCCAGGTCAAAGTTGACACCCAACCTGCATCATGTACGTACTTACCATTGATGATGTAAACCTCCTTTCTCGTTTTCTCCAACGTAGAGCTTTCTTTTTCCTTTTACCTTTCCCTATAAAGTTACTCCATTAATTGTTTTTTCTAAATTCTTTGTAGTAATGTTTTCGTTTAATCTCTCTACATTATGTAACTTCCAAACTCTATAACATGTACCGGTTCTAATTGTTTTCAACTTCCTAAAGGGTTTTCAAACTTTTTTCTTCCTTTTTCAGACTAAAAAATCAGTCCCATTGGAAATTGGTCTTAGAGTGGAATTCCGACCAAGAACATACTTATGATCATGGAATTGCATGGCAATGCATCGTGAAGCGAGCAAAGGAAAATACTTTCGGTGGTTGGGTCAACAGTAACTAACAAAATCTTAAGACCGTTGATCAACCAACCTGCGATACATGTCGGAACTTGCACTAAAGAGTATAGAACCAAAACGGGTCGACGTAATAAATTAATTAGCAATTACAACAAGTAGCAACATGCGCAGGCATCTAAATTAAATTAAGTCTTCTATCTCCAGTAAAATTTAATGTCTTGCCCGACAACAAGGACGCAAGCAGCCGTTTACTATTATCCTAAATGTATCCAATTCTACTTGGATTTCCCTGAAAAGCCTGTCCTCTTTGTCTCCATGAGTAATGTGGTATAACCCACACTTAACTACTTGAGAGTAAAGACTTTCCATTTTTTTGGGCCTATTGCAACGTACTCTCTGGATTTTATTTTAGATATAAACACCATAGCCGCCTCCATCTGCTGACACCTTTGCCTCTTACCTTAATTTCTCATACTTTTCTTTTTCTTTAAGAGCATTATTACAAGTGCTTACATCTCAACTTTAATGTTCGCAGTCCTTTATTTAATGAAACATTTAATTCTATATTACCTAAGTTCCAATATTTCCCACGCACGCGTTGGCGACAATAACCGACAAATACCCCCTTATTCATGAAAGCACCGTCCCTCCACACCTATATATCCCCCTCACACTTTATCTTCTTTTCATCATTCAAACACCAAATATTCCTCGGACACTCTCACTTTTTTTTCATCTCGGTTTCTTGCTCTCTTTTTATTTATCTTATTCTTCAATATTAGCTACAATGTATCAAGCAGCAGAGTCATCTTGGGCTGGAAATTACCACAACAACATAGCAACAAGGCGTGGATCGTCATCGTCGTCAGACCCGTTGGAGAGGGTTGTGAGGCTGGCGTCAGGAAGCGCGGTGGTGATATTCAGCGTGAGCACATGTTGCATGTGTCATGCAGTGAAGAGGCTGTTTTGTGGAATGGGAGTGCACCCTACGGTGTACGAATTGGACCAAGACCCCAAAGGCAACGAAATGGAGAGAGCACTCTCTAGGCTTTTAGGCAACGCTCCTGCAGTCCCTGTTGTCTTCATTGGTGGAAAACTAATTGGAGCAATGGATAGAGTTATGGCTTCTCATATTAATGGCACTCTTGTCCCACTTCTCAAGGAAGCCGGTGCTCTCTGGCTTTGATTTGACCAAAAAATAGCAGGATTAGGTTGATGGATGGATTATTCCTCCATTTTTTATTTTTGGTTTCCTTAATTAATGTGCTTTAAGTTTTGTAGCTAAGTATGTTATAGTTGATATAATGCGTCAATTTAGCTAGTAACTGTTTAATTTCATGGCAACCTTGTAGTTGATGCGCTGATGCATGTATTTCATGATTAGCTATCTCTTGTTGTAGATATAATCCAGAAACCACCTCTTATGTTAGTCCTTTTAATTTGTATTAGTACCAATACTTTATTGCTCCTCTTTTTCTCTCCCTCTCTTTGCTTGTTGTTTACTGTTGTGATAACATGAGTGGATGATTATTAAACATTCGGGAAGCTAAGGGACAATAACACCGGAATTGGGATATATAGATGATCAAAGAATATTGGGGTAGTCATAATAAATAATGTGGTGCCCTGTCAAAGAACAATGTGCATTTAGTAGGAGAAGCAGCATAATAAGTGCTAGCATGCTCCTATATTTGTACACAACATATATACGTACTGTAGAAGTATTATGCCTTTTTGGAAGGACCATTTTAGCGACTATATTTCCATCATCTCTTCAATTTTTATTGAATCCATTTAGGTTAGTACAATGGAATTCATTCTTATGAGTGATTCGCGCGTTCTCCATATATATTCTTCAAACTCATCATGTCTTCCTCCTAAGGGCCGGCTCAATGCACAAACTAGTAAGACAAATGCTTTAGGCCCCACCAGTTTGGAGGCCTATTTATCAATAAGCCGACCAGTTTGGGGGCCCATTTCCCAATAGTTAATGTTGGTATTATTTATACTTGGCAATGCAAAATAAGGAGTCATTCGGTTGGAATATGAGTTATACCAGTATAAGTTATGCCGGTATAAGTTATATTGGGATAAGTTATGCTGAGATTAGTTATGCTGGAATTGTTGTTTATTAATTGTTTGGTATGTTGTATTAAGAATGACAATTGTATAATTTCTAAGAGGAAGGTATAAGTTATACCGGTGCTAGTTACTCCACCTTCTATAAGGTATCAGTTATTCCGGTATTAAAATTAATACCGGAATAACTTATACCTGGTTTGCTAACCAAACAAAGTATTAAGGTAGTATTAAATTTTTATACTTCCCTTATACCTCCTTATACCTCATTCTAAACGACTCCTAAAAGATTTCTTTGTGATCCCTTTTTCTTCTTTACTTCTTTTTCTTTTGTGAAATGCAAAGTGTTCTTGATAAGTAGTGGAAAGTCTTTTACTTCTCTTTTTATTGAATTGCTCTTTGTTGGGCTTGTAAAGAGCCAGTAAAATGGAATGGCCTCACGCACATGAGAAATTGATCCTGAAGGAAAGACGAGTTGATTTGCCCTCCCCCATGCGCGCGAGATGTACGTGAGGCCTAATCCAAATATGGTTTTGGTAAAAATTTATTTCTTCCTTTTTTATAGCTTACTAGAAAAGTGTCCAAATACATGCTTACCAGAATATGTCTAAATTCATTTTCTTTGTAATAACTATTCTTTAAATTGTTGTTGTAAGCACGTGATTTTTGCCCTATATGAGAATTACTCCCAAAAAATTCAAAAAATAAAATAATTTTTCTTGGTGTGCAATTTTTGTGATAATTTGTGTAACTATTTGTATGTTTGTCTATGCATGTTTATTTGTTAAATTAATAAAAAAATACAAAAATAGGCATCTTTTGTATTTTTAGCATTTAATGTCCAAATGAACAATTTTATGCTTAATTATTACTTAATTGTGCGTTAATTGTTATTGGAAGTTAATTTGCGCTTTTATAACTTAATTTAGTTCTTAATAATAATTTAAGTACTTTTATAATTTAGTTTTAGAAAAATAAAAGAAGAAAAGAGAACAAAAATACAAAGAAAAATCGGATTGGGCCACTTCTTCAATTTCAAACCACAGGCCCAAATAATTGCCCAACTTTCCCCATGACCCGGTCCGTTTCAAACCGGGTCGACCCGGTCCGCTCCATTAACCCAACACCCCTTGTTCATTTTTGTCCAACACAAAACAAAACCAAAAAAATAAAAAATAAAAGGTGAATTATCACTATTAATAGTTTATTTTTTGTTTTTTTATACATAAAAAAAATCCGAAAATATTTTTTTTTATTTTTTTATTTTTATAATTTTTTAAAAAAACATATATAATAATTTCGGGAATGATTTAAAAAAAGTAAAAGAATGTAGAAAATTTAAAAAAAAATAAAAAGTTTTTAAAAAATTTTGGAATTAAAAAATAAATATAAAGATATCTGAAAATTTTAAAAAAAAATTAAAGTAATTGAAAGTAGCATTTTTAAAAGAAAAAGAAAAGATAGTGGTT